AGTGTCACCCTAGATTTTCCCGTTTTACTCACACAATTTTGACTAACTTGTATACGGCTCCCTCCTGTACACAGTTCGATCGTGTCATTTTTCGACTCACTCATACCTTTTATTGCCCCACTTTTAGATGTTAACCTGCACACAATCGTTAGTGACTTCAGCCATACTAGTACTTATTCACTTTTATCATTGGGTACGACAGATCTCTGTCACTCTCCCACAAGAGGTAACTCTATACTGGACAGAGTAATTACCCACCACCCAACTAGCACTAAAAGCTCCTATTTCTTCCGGTGACCATTGCTTACTCTTAGTTCGACCTAAAAATTATTCACATAGTGCGTACAAATCTTCCTCCCAATCTGAGCACATCAGATTTCGTTTTCGTAACTTCTCACGTACACGTATTTCTCTCCTGACTGAACCTCTCAGACAGGCCTCCCTATGGTTTTCATCATCTTCTCTGCTCACATGTGCCCCCCAAATTCACCCAAACAATCAATGCCACTTTTAATTACTGCTGTCCTGTTCAAAGTCTCTGTGTCCAACGGAAGGATAAACTCTCCTCTACTAAAGTCACTGCGACGAAAAAAGGAACGTGCGTACAAGTCTCACGATGCTTCCTCTGTCAGGTATCCATCAGGCTTATCAAAGCCGAAGTAAGTAGATTGAATGCATTATTCTCTGATCGAATTCTGAGGATTGGAAACAGCAAACACCTGTGGCAAGATATAAAACTTCTCTGTGGAAGGAAGGACGTACGGTCGAAGCTGGATGTAGCTGATGATGATCTCAATGCTGCATTCCTGCGCCAGTCATCACACATTCTTCCTGCCTACTCGTTACCAAAGGTTTGCAACGTGGAACCATCCTCATATTGTGATGTGTTAAAACTTTTAAAAAGTTGCAAATCGTCTTTTGCTGCAGGCCCGGATGACTTACATCCAGTCTTCTTCAAACTTGGTGCTGCTTCCCTAGCTGGGGCAATTGCCTCCATTGTGAATGAATCTCTTCACACTTCTGCTATCCCCGACCGTTGGAGGCCGGTCACAATCATGCCAATCCCCAAAGCATCCAAATCCTCTATCCTCTCCAAACGTTTTAGTCCCATAGCATTAACATCTTCAGCTCTTAAATTGACTGCAAAGGTTTTCCTCAAACGCCTTCAGCAGTTACAGTTTCCTTACAAGCCTAATACACCTACGTTGGACGCAGTCTCCACCCTCATTCATTTCATCACTAAATCTTTGAACAGTCTTTTCGGTGTGTTTATCTGGACTACTCTTCTGCACTTGATTCCATTCCTCGATCTAAGTTGTTACAAAAACTGGAATCGTTTTAATGCCCCAAGCAGTTGTTAGCTTGGCTATCCAACTATTTTACCGATAGGATACAGATTGGGGAAGATCACATCAAAACCCTTAGTCAACAACTCCGGGGTCCTTCAAGGAGCTGTGCTATCCCCATACTTATTTTCCACTTATATTTGTGATATTCCCTGTGTTTCTCCCGCACGAATTTTGAAATATACAGATGATGTCGTGTTGTGCCAACCCATTTCTTCTTACTCTGATCTAAGCTCTTTCACCGATAACCTTGATCAAATTCAGTGATTCTCCTTCTCATCGGGGCTAACCCTGAACCCCAGTAAATGTGTTGATTGTTTATATAGTTTTGCTCGCTCCCCATATCCGACAGACCCCACAGTGATCAATAACAATCCTTTATCTAGGGTGAACTCTGTCAAATATCTTGGTGTAACCGTAGATAGCAATCTTCATTGACCAACCCACATCCACAACTGCATTGGTAAACTGCGGCGCCTTTCATTTCAAATACGAAAGATCTGGCAGTTTTGCGCATCCCAGTCAGTTATTTCTAGTTTTGTTTATCAATGTGTTTTCCCCATCTTACTCTACTGCTCCCCAGTTATTTTCCCTGGTTTACTCAAACAGGATTTCAAAGTCTTAGGTCGCGATCTAACCATNTTTTGTTTATCAATGTGTTTTCCCCATCTTACTCTACTGCTCCCCAGTTATTTTCCCTGGTTTACTCAAACAGGATTTCAAAGTCTTATGCAGAGGTCTAACCATAATAAGTCGCGTCTCTTCTATTCCTGTGAATGAATTAGCTGTAAAGCTTTCAGAGTATCACGTAACTTCCCGTGTGAAATTTGCTGAGGATTCTCACCAATCCTGACCACCCACTGCATGCAGAACTGACACTTTGTCGTTCCCATCATTCAACACGCTCCCGATTCCGCCAAATTTCACCTCGAATTAACGCATACCGCAATTCACCCATACCGCATCTTGCTCATCTACTCATAAACAAAAAGCGGACAATAAGTGAACTTTGTCTTGACCTGGGATTATGAAATATCCCCACGCCTGTCGAAACGTTTCTCCCCGTTGATTATATACATTGTGACGGTTAGTGTGTATGATTTTTTAACTGAAATGTGAGCTCCAGTGCTTGCAAAAGTTGTACACAAGACAATACAATACAATGGAATGCTTTTCACACACCGCCCAGTTGTCTTTTGGGTCAAACATTGTTTAACCGAAGACTCGGGTGTTTAATTCCCCAAGAAAATTGACCTGTTCTGCCCTGGTGGGGACGTCGAGATTCAAACCTTGACCCATAGGGTCCAAAGCACACCAGTGACGGCGATTGAACCACTGCACCATCACCATCTAACAGGGCTACCAATTGGAACATCAACCCCTAACACACGCAACCGTGAATATTCTGCAATCAATGAATCCGTATAATACGCTCTACTCTAGTTCTATGAATCATTTTACACTCTACACACCTTCCTAAATTTCACCCCGCCCCCCCCTGCTCATACATTCTTTTCCAGTGGGAACTTCGGACGATTGCACTAACAGCGAATTAACCGGAAATCCTGGCATTGTCTTTCCGCGACCCTTCAACGGCCAGCGTCCAAGTACCATCGAATCCTCCTCCAACCACTAAAGCTCTTCTTCGTTCTCGCTGATCATTCAAACTAATCACATTTACCTTGGGCACTCTATGCTTATAGGACAACATACGTTCCAGACCTTAACCATCGATGTCCACATTTTGTAAGAGACTTGCATTCAATTCGACTCATTCGATTGACGTCCTCAAAGCTTTACAGACCTTTCAGAGAACCTGACGCTGCAGCTTCTCGACTTACAGGTGCTGGCATTGGATTAAAGTACAACTTTCTTATGTGCACAGTGAGAGGTAGGGATTTGTACAAAATAAACATTCGTGGCCCCGATACACAACTTATTTGTCGTGAATGAATAGCAGTCCAGATGCAGTCAAATACATCTTTTACCAAAAGATACCAAAAGCTCTGCATAAATTCGGTCGGAGTGATATCGTGATTTTAGCAGATGCGAATACCAGTGTAGAATGGCTGACTCCGAGAGAGGTGGTTCGAACTAAATTCCTGTAGCTCGGAAAATAGAGAAAGGCTGTTAGCCCCATGATCTTGCAATCGCCTATTTCTGGCGTCCACTCTCCTCAAATCAGCAACCGATTCAGATCAACAGCACAGGTGAGAAACAGATGACGGGGTAGCATACGAGAGAACATCGTACCGGAGAAACTTCTCGAATAAGACCATGTATAGCCTGTACTAAGCCGTTCATGTCATGCGTGGGGCACCCCAAATGCATGAGTTAGCGGCGATTAGCTTGTGATAAGCTGTCCCAAACAGCTTGCTAAACAACCTATCAAGACGCATTGGTTGGAAAAGCTAGGAATACAAACCTTCTACCCACCTACATAAGAAAACAGACACTCCTAAGCGCTCATCCGGTTGACGCATTGGGAATGTCATCTCAATCAGTGATGAAACGTTTGCAACATAATTGCCGAGCTCGGTGAACAACTGGCCATCATATTTGCATATATGCAAACAAGGTTACTGTGACGAAAATACAAGTTTATGAATGAACTGACAAAAGCTTACCAGATACTCATGCCTGACGAGTGGCAAGAGCCGCAAAACTGGTCGTGCGCTTCAGGGAAATTTTTTCAGTCATTCACATACTACTTAGTATGATATATATATAACAAATGTAACAATATACCGCGTACTTCCATCAGGTGTTCAGTCTTCGCATGTTTCTAAGATTTCGGTACAGGTATTCGTTATAGGACGTGCGCTGTGAAATTGACATTGGAAACTACGGTAATGAGTGGATTCGAATTACGGAATGTACCTATGTTAGTTTGAAAGCAAACTACTAAACACATGAACAAGCCGAGTTGCACTGAGATCGCTCGAAGNGAGCAAACCCGAAGTGATTGGGATGCATTTGTCTTGTCTGGAAAACTGAATAGAGGACAACGAATTGAAAAATGGCGAACAATTCAATTGTTGTTATTCCATAACGAAACCAAGAAAGCGAAAATTTCCAAACCGAGAATTACTAGTGACAACCCATTCGGAAGACTAAATAACAAGCGTGTAGTTTTCGGACACTCAGTTCGGAAATTAACTTGCGATGCACTCAACCCCCTCCCCCCCCCGCACTCGCTGTTGCTAAGCAACTGATCGAACCAGACAAATGAATGACAACACTGTGACCTGAAAATAGACAATCTAAATGTTGGATAGCCTCTTGTTTGGGGATGCAGGAAGCGATTGTCACCAAGTAATATGTATAACGCGCATCTGTTACTGAAGTATGACAACAATGACAAAAAATTGAAATTCCACAGTCAAAAACCGCGGAGATGATCGGAAGAAATTGTGATCGCACATGATAGTTGAACACGTCTAGTTTTCATGGAGTTTGCAGTCCGACAGTACGAGAAAGAGTCATGGTTAGCAGGAATTTGATCAGACAAAGGGTCTCGTGTGAGGAACAGTCGGAGCAATGGAAAACTTGGGCAATAAACAGATACAAACTGTCTAAACGAGTGCAAGACTATTAAAACAGAATTGCGGAACCAAGCTTGCACATTCGTGACGAATGGAAGAGAGGACTAACCTTGAAATCATAGGCGCATCGCTGTATCAATTCTGGGGCCATCCAGAAAGGAGTGCCTACAAAGGAACCGCGTTTGGTAATACTGGAGTTTAATTGCCCGGCCACACCGAAGTCGGCCAGTTTGACATCTCCGCTGTAGGAGAATAGGACATTGGCAGCTGGACAGGGAAGGAAAAAGGTGGACGTAGGAATCAGATCGACTGAGTAGAAAGATTAAACTGCGATTTGAGTGTCCGGAATTGAAAAAAACGTAATACCCATTGAAGCTGTCTTCTGTCGAATAATACTTAAACCCATAAAATTGATGATCTCTGCATTGACTCCACCGTGAAAATATCCTCGCTTTCCATCCTAAATAAGAACTATCTAAGTAACTTTGCAGACAGCCTCTTTTCTCTAAATGATGTTTGTGACCATTGATTGCGATTGATGTGAGATTCCATAGTTTCGCACTGAATGTTTAGCTTCAACAAAAAAGAACTCACGCAATAAATACTTTGTACTGAGCGATACTGCATACTACAGAATCGGCTTGATCAATAGACCGGATAGTGAACGTAACAGAAAAGATTTCATAGTACCATATGATCAAACCGGACCTTGTTTATCATTTCATCATAATCATTGTACACGGCAAGGGTAGAGCTGTATGTTACCCAGCGCGTCCCCAGGTAGCGGATATTGAAACGGCCGCAAACAGGCGGTTAACTGTGAATAAAGTGGGTCTATTCTCACTGAATAAGCGGTCGCGGACGATCAGCAGCAGTGATCGAGGATGTGGTGGGTTTACCACTTGGCAAGGGCTCTCCACACAAAACACCACATGTATCTTATGACAGCGTTGTGACGTGGTGATTGTGGCCCGCCAATGAATACGGCCATTGCCCCCTTGTCGAATTCCATCAACCCGACAAGGACTTCCAGAGAAGGCGAATGAACCAACCGACCGGTCATGGGCTTATCCGGAACAATACTGTTGCCTTGTAGCTCGCACTTGATTGCGTAAAGGCTACAGTGCATCCTCAAACTAGGCCTACTCTGGACTAGGCGACCGAGTAGTACAACAGCCCGCAATGCAAACAATGAACTTCAACTTAATCAATAACTCGCTCTTTCAGTTCTCGCGCATGAAAAAACACTACACCGTGCACATCTTCCTTTTTTCAGCTTTTCCTCTACCTCACTTCCCCCCCTCCTCAAACATTCCCATTATTATCAAGATCTTCAGACAATCGTACTACCAGTTGTGCCTCCGATGGAAATTT